ATTGGCTGTTGGTTTTTCATAGATGGCTTTTATCAGTTTGAGGTAGAGACCATCTATTCCAATTTTTTGTGGGGTTTTTATTATAAATGCATGTTGGATTTTGTCAAATGCTTTTTCTGCATCTATGGAGATAACCATATGATTTTTGTCCTTGGTTCTATTGATATAGTGCATTACATTGATTGATTTGCATATGTTGAACCATCCTTGCATCCCTGGGATGAATCCCACTTGAACAGGGTGTACGATCTTCTTCATAATCTTCTGCATTCTATTTGCCAGTATCTTTTTAAGGATTTTTGCATCTATGTTCATTAGTAAGATTGGCCTATAGTTCTCTTTTTTGGTTGAGTTTTCTCTGCTTTGGGAATCAAGGTGATGCCTGCTTACAGGAATGAATTCAGGAGTATTCCTTCCTTTTCAATTTCATTGAAGAGTTTAAACAGTAATGGCAGTAGTTCCTTTCTAAATGTCTCATGGAATTGAGTGGTGAAGGCATCAGGACCCGGACTTTTCTTACTTGGTATGTTTTAAATTACAATTTCAACTTCATTGATTGATATTGGTCATTTCGAATTTTTAGGTCTTCTTTGTTCAACTTTGTTAAGTCATACATATTGAGAAATCTGTCCATTTCTTCTGCATTTTCCATATTATTGGTGTAGGGATTCTTGAAGGTATTAATTATCCTCTGGGTTTCTGCTGGGTCTGTTGTAATTATACCCTTTTCATTCCTATTTGCATGGATTTATGCTTTTTCTTTACTTTTTCTGATAAGGTTGTCTAAGAGTTTGTCAATTATGTTTATTCTTTCAAAGAACCAACTCTTGGCTTCATTGATTTTTTTTGTATCCTTCACTTCATCTCACTTACATTGATCTCTGCTTTAATTTTTATAATTTCCTCTCTTGTATGAGCTTTGGGTTTGTCCTGCTCTTTTTTTTTTTTTCTTGAAGCTTGAGTTTCAGCATCAGGTTGTTTAATTGGGCTCATTCGGTTTTCCTAATGTGAGTATTCACTGATATGAATTTCCTTCTCAAGACTGCTTTCATTGTGTCCCATAGACTCTCATATGTTGTATTGTCATTGTCATTTAATTGTAAGAACTGTCTGATTTCTTCTTCAATTTCCTCCATGACCCATTGGTCATTCACAATAGTGTTGTTCAATTTCCATGTTTTTATGAAATTCTTGTGGTATCTTTTGCTATTAATCTCCACTTTTGTCCCAATAGGGTCTGATAATATACATGGGATAACTTCAATTCCTTTGCACTTACTTAAATATTTTCTATGTGAGTCTGTGGTCGACTTCAAAGAAAGACCCATATGAAGCTGAAAAGAATGTTTTTTTTGATTTTGTGGGGTGGGACACTCTGTAAATATATGTTGAATTCCTTTGTTCAACAGTTTGATTGATTTCTAGTCTTTTATTGCCTGATTTTTGTCTAGTTGATCTACCTATTTGTGACAGTGCAATACTGCAGTCCCCACTAATATTGTAATAGTTCTTGTATGATTTTTCATGTCCTTTAGTATTTCTTTTATATGTTGGGCAGACTCCTGTTTGGTGCATAGATATCATGACTGTCATCTCTTCCTCTTGGATTGTTCCCCTTAGAATGATATACTATGCTTCTTTGTCTCTCTTAGTTAGTGTTGGTTTGAAATCCACTTGATCTCTAAAGAAGATAGCTACTCCTGTCTTTTTTCGGGTTCCTATCACATGGAGTATTGTTTCCACCATTTAACTTTCAGTCTATGAGTTTCTTTTTGAATTAATTGTGTTCTTGTATGCAGCATATTATTGGATCTTCCTTCTAGACCCATTCTACCAGTCTATTTCTTTTGATTGGCAAATTAAGACCATTAACACTGATGGTTATAACTGATACGTCTTGACTTATCATTGTCATGACTTTTTCTTTCTGTTTGAGTCTCTCCCTTCATGTTTAATTTCATTTCCTGCCCAACAGATTCATTCTGCTGGGCTTCCTGGGATTGTGATCCTTGTTTTCTTTTCCTAGGATATTGTCTAAAATTTTGTGGAGTTCTGTTTTGGTATTTATGAAGTTCCAAAGGTGCTCTTGGTCATGAAATTATCTGCTTCTGCATCAACTTTGAATAATACCTTTGCAGGGTACATCAATCTGGGCTGGAGGGTTTTTTGGTTTAGCACTTGAAATACATCACTCCATGTTCTTCTAGAGTTGAGGGTTTGTGTTGAGAAGTCAGCTGTGATTCAGATGGCCTTTCCTTCGTGTGTGATTTGTTTCTTTTCTCTAACCTCTTATAGAATTTTGTTCTTCTGTTGGGTTTCTGGAATCTTAACTATTATATGCCTATGTTCAGATTTTTTTTAATCAAGGCTAGTTGGAGTCCTATATGCCTCATTTATCTGTATGTCAAGTTCTTTTCCCCTGCTTGCGAAATTTCCCGCCATCATTTCTGTGAACAATATTTTTATGCCTTCTGCACTCTCTTCTGTTTCTTCAATGACTCTGATCTTTTTATGTTATTTTTCTTTGCTTCGTCTAGCAGCTGCTGGGTTGATTTGTTGTGGTCCCTCACTATTTTTAAGAAATTTTTTTTCCTGCTCACTAACTGCAATCTTACCTTCTATATCTGAAATTCTGTCCTCACATTGGCTCATTCTGCTGCATAAACTTTCAATGGATTTTTAAAATTTCTTTGATATCTGTTTGTATCTGTTTTATGGATTGCATTTGTTTCCTATGTTGAGATTCCATCATGTTCCTCAGCTCCTCTACTTTTTTATCTGTGTCCTTCCTTGATTTATTAATCATCTCTTTCTCTATGGGCACAATCTCTGCTGATATCTGAGAAATTATTTCTGATTTATTTTTTTCAAAATCCTCTTTCATTGCCAGTTCAGAAAGTCCAGGTGATTATCAGATTGTTTCATCTCATTTCCCTTTGTGGTTGCTTTAGGTGATCTGGGAAGCTGTTTTTGAGACTTGTTTATATATCTTCTCATTTCACAGTTGTGGGGGGGGGATGTGTTGTCCTGGTACCTGCACCCCTCACCTCCTTGGCATTCAGGGTGATGGTACAGCACCCTGGAATGTACCCTATTCTGCACCGAGGGCATATCTGCTCCTCTGCACTCATGACTTTGATTTCTTTTGTTAGGTTGATTCCTAGGTATTTCAGTTTTTTGGATGCTATAGTGAAAACAATTGATGGCCCCATTTATCTCCCAGTGAGTCTGTTGTTCATGTTCAGAAAATCTATTTCTTTGTGTGTCTTGAGCCTGTTTCCATCTACTTTACTGAATTTGGTTATTAAGTCTAGAAGACTTTTGGTGAAGGTCTTGTGGTCTTCTATATAGAGTATCATGCCATCTGCAAATAATGACTATTTGACTTCTTCATTTCCTATTTCTTTTATTTCTTTCTCTTATTTAATTGCTGTGGCTAATTTTTCCAAAACTATGTTGAACAGAAGTTATGATAGAGCACATCCTTGACTTGTTCCAGATTTTAGTGTAAGTATTTCAGGTTTTTGACCATTTAGTATGATATTGGCTGTTGCTTTTTCACGGATGCCTTTTATCAGATTGAGGTAGAGACCATCTATTCCAATTTTTTTGGAGAGTTTTTATCATAAATGAGTGTTGGAATTTTTCAGATGCTTTTTGTGCATCTATGGAGATATTCATATAGTTTTTTTCTTGCCTCTATTAATATAGTGTATTACATTTATTGATTTGCATAAGTTGTGCCATCCCTGCATCCCTAGGAAGAAGCCACCTTGGTCAGGGTTTATGATCATCATGATGATTTCCTGCATTCTATTTGCCTTTATCTTATTGAGGATTTTTGCATCTATGTTCATTGATGAGATTGGCCTATAGTAATTTTTCAGTTGGGTCTTTCTGTAATTCGGGGTTCAAGGCAATGATTGCTTCCAGGAATGAACTGGGGAGTATTGCTTCCCTTTCCATTTCATTGAAGAGTTTAAAGAGTAGTGGTAGTAGTTCCTCTGTACATGTCTTATAGAATTCAGCAGTGAAGCTATGTAGACCTGGGCTGTTCTTAGTTGGTAAGATTTAAATCATGTTTTCAATTTCATTGATTGATATTGGGTTGATCAGTATTTTTTGGTCATCTTCGTTCAACTTTGGTAATTCTAACATATCTAGGAATCTGTCCATTTCTTCTGTATTTTCCTTCTTATTGACATATGGGTTCTCAATGTAGGTATTGATGATCCTCTGGATTTCTGACGTGTCTGTTGTAATTTCACCCTTTTCATCCCCAATTGCACGGATTTGGAACTTTTCTTTCCTTTTTTTGTTAAGGTTGTCTAAGAGTTTGTCAATTTTGTTTATTCTTTTGAATAACCAAATCTTGGCTTAATTGATTTTTTGTACTTAGTTCAAAAAAACTTACTTTTGTTCACTTAGTCTCCATTGCATTGATTTCTGCACTGATCTTTATATTTTTCTCCCTTGTATGAGCTTTGGATTTTTCCTGCTCTTCTTTTCCTCAAAGGTTGAGGTCAAGAATCAGTTTGTGTAATTGAGCTCGCTCTGTTTTTCCCCCACCTACTGGTAATAACCACGTTTGTCATTCCACTTTTAATAGTGGCTCTGTTCCTGGGGAGGAGGCAGGTGGGACAGGCAGTGGACAGAATGGGAGACATCCATCCAGGGAATGAGATTGCAAGGACACATGTAAAACATTTTCACTGCTATTCTAGAGCATTTATTTCTGATGTGTTCATTATACAGCTTTATGAAATGTTTAATAAAGCTTTATAAATTTTTAAATGCCTCATCTTATTATTTCTATTTTCACTGTGCTAAAATCCATATAAGTAAATGTACCACTTTAAAATAAAGTTTGTTAGCACTAAATCCAGTGCTATTTTTCTACAACCATCACTCTTATCCATCTACCAAAATTTTTACAAATTCCTAAATGAACTTTGCACTGATATTAAAACAATAAATTTCACCATTCCCCAAATCAGTCTCAATTCTTCTATGTATATTATATAAAATAGAAGACATCAAACTTCTAAAATAATGTAATCAACCAAGAAATATTTTCATTGAGTTTTCTACATTCAGTTCAGCTATATTTCTACATTCCAAATGGACCCCACACATCTGTAGATTAGATTTGCTGTGGAATCTAACTTTGGAGCTTCCTAAGGGTGCTGCAAATGTCCCTGTTTCTCTGGCTGTAGACGAAGGGATTCAGCATAGAGGTGACCACAGTGCACATCAATGAAGCCACCATGCCATTCCTGGGAGAATATGACACATCTGAACCAAGGTACACTCCAATGCTGGTACCATAAAATAAGAAAACAACTAACACATGAGAAATACAGGTAGAAAAGGCTTTGTATCTCCCACCTGATGAAGGGATTTTGAGAATGGAGGAAACAATTTTATAGTAAGAGAAAATGATCCCTAACATGGGAATAAAGCCAAATATGGCACCAACAAAATATGTGACCATGGTTTTGAATAAGGTACCAGAACATGAAAGGTTAAAGACTTGTGAAGGATAACAGAAGAAATTAGCAATTTCCACATCTTTGAAACAGGTAAATTGCAAGGAAACTATATTGTGCAGCTGGGAGTTCAAAAGGTGAATGAAGAGAGAAAGCAGAAGAAGTAAGACACAGAGGCAAGGATTCATAATGGCAGCATAGTGAATGGGGTGGCAAATTGCCACAAACCCGTCATAGGCCATCACAGTCAGAAGCATGTCATCCATACTTGCAAAAAAGGATAAAAGACACATTTGGATGAGGCAGCCCACATAGGAGATGACTCTGTTCTGAGTTGAGATGTCTACAATAATCTTTGGGACTGTGGTGGAAATGAAAGAGATGTCAACAATGGCCAGGTTGTAGAGGAAGAAGTACATGGGGGTGTGGAAGTGGGAGTCAGAGCTGACTGCAAGGATGATGAGCAGGTTTCCAAGTACTGTGACCAGGTACATGAATAGGAAGAGTCTGAAGAGGACAGGCTGCAGATTTGGATCATCTGAGAAGGCCATGAGATTGAATTCTGAGATACATGTGAGATTATATGTTTTGATAGTGCTTGAACACCTTTAAAAAATCCATTAGGAAAATGAAACCAATAAATACTCCAGAACACTCAATATGTTGTGAATCAAGTATTCCCACATGAAGTCCATAAACCTCATATTATCAATCGATAGTGCCAACCCCAATCCTCATGAGCTCTTTCATTATCAGGTTATTTGCTCCCATGTTCTTCTTTGTACTCCTAATTTACAGACACGGTAGTGACAATGTGTGCACATTTGAGTTCAGAATTCTATGACTCCAGTAATATACAGTGAACTCTTTTTTTAAAAAAGAATATACGACTCTATTAGAAGAAAATTAACAAGCATTTAACATAGCTTATTTTATTCTCAGAAAATGGTACAAATTCTCTTGAATTATCTAGGACTGCATTATATGAACATTAACGTTACCAGTTCATAAGCAAGATATATAGTTTTCAGCCAGTTATCTCCTAGAAATTCTTCATCATTTTGGGGATTTTCTTATTTCCATTTTTCAAAGATGTAAGAGCTCCTATAGATTTTGTAATGTATAAGTTTTATAACTCCTATAATTGTCTAAAATCTATATAAAATAATATAAAGCAAATTCAAATACACACATATAATCTGAGGATATAGTAACAAGGAATGTGGCCTTAGCGCACATTGTACCTGTCAATGGTTAGAAATAAAAGGGATAAGAATGATTGGCAATTTGCATTTTATATTTTTCACAGGTTAATTTTAATTACTCTGTACAATGACACTATGTAAGATAGCTATTCACTCTTTTTTTACTACTCTGTATTCTAGAGAAGCATGCACCATTGTCTTTATGATACTAAACAGTCTATGTCCAGTGGAAAACCTGAGAAAGCAGGAAAGTTCCAAGACCCTGGCTGATTTCAAGGCTTTTTAATTCTTATTGACAGAATTTCCACATCAATATTTTCAGGTACATGTTTAGAATTTCTCTTATTTTAGCTACTGAAATTTGCACTGTTTTTTGGTCAGGCCACACCATAATTTACTTGAGAAAAAGGCAAAGTAGAAGTACATGAAATAATGTTAACACACCTGAAAAATCATGTAAAAAAGAATTACATGAAATGGTTTAAGCCCAGCTGTAACTCCCGT